GCTCCTGCCTCATCTGCTTCGGGTTCACACTGCATGAGTCCTGCAAAGAGGTGAACACTACCAGCCTCAATCTCACAGCCTGCTCCTCCATCATGCTGCACAGGTGAGGAACTGAGCCCGACACACACCCCCCTCACCCTGCAGGGCCTGTTGCTCTTACCTTTCCCAGGTAGGACTGATTTTCCTAACAAGCTTCAGACCCTTGCATGATCCAGCTATAACAGCTGTACATAGGTCTGGATGTTCTCCCTGCTGCCTTGACAATTGCATCTTTGGGGCACTTGCTCACCATTGCCTCCTGGTACTAGGACAGCCTGACTCCAAGCTCATACTTGGTTCTCTCAGCTATCAGAGGAAGACATGGTCCTGGTGGGAACAGGTCAGACAGTAAGTCCCCCACTATTAACTTCTTTCCTGTGTCCTCTCATTTACTAGCAATGCTGATGGTGCTCCTGACTGGTTTGGGACATTTTCCAATGCTCTTCTTGTAGCCCAAAAGCTCACAGCTGGCCTGATTGTTTTACACACAGGTAAGTCCCTGTTCCCAGACCTTATCTTTCCCCACTCTGGGGGAAAACTTGCCCCCTATGCCAGTGCACAAACTCCCTGGTAGAAGCAGACACTGCAGTGACCTCTCAGCACAGGCATAAAGCCTCTTGTCTTACCCTAACAAATTAAAGACAGCACCTTCAGAGCTGATTCTGCCACTTACCAGCCTGGTGAAGTGCTGATTCCTTTCCAGAAAAACAGCATCCCTTCTTGCAAATTGGCTCACAACTCCTGCAGCCTTCCTTGCTTCAAATAGTCCTTATATACCTGCTCACCATTTTGTGAGGCACTCCATTTCCTTCCACAAACAACACTGGTACAGCTGTGTCTACCCTGGAGCTGGAAGCCTTTTTAAACCCTCTAGAGGGGTGGGGAGGGGGGAACCAGCCCTTGTCTGACCCTCATCACCTGTGCATAGTTGCCTGTTAGAGTAGGTCTAGCTGCTCTCTGGTGACTTTTAAAGAGTCTCTGCTCCCTTTCCACTGTGTCATGTGGTGCTGCACCTTGGTGCCAGGCAGGGCATTGTATGTTGAGATGTGCAGGGTGTCCAGGCCAACAGAAATGCCTCCTAATTTGAGAGGCAGTCCTGCTTTGGAGAGAGGTAGTGTGCATACTGGTTTCTGTCCTTCAGATCACTGAGGCTAGGCAGGCATGGTCTGCCTGACAGGTGGGGAATGCTGTTTTGAAGATCTCTAAGTAAAAGCTGAGCAAATGTTCTATCCTGTGCAGACAGCTCTGGGTCTGGCTAAATATCTTTCTCTGGGCTGGAGCTTTCCACTAGTGCAGGCCTGCAGTGACCCAGAGACAAGGGCACCCCCCTGGCCCCCAGGTCCCTAGTTCTGGTCCTTTGCCTGATCTGCTTTAGCATGCCAGGCTGCGAACCAACCTTGGCAGCCCCATAGTGAGTAATCCCGTGCGGTGCTACTACTGCACTCCCCTTCTGCCCTGCATATTTGGGGACTTGGAGTTGCTGTGGAGAGCCTGGTCTGAAAGGACTTTGAATCAAAGGTTAGTTTCAGGGACATAAAGACCATACCCCATTAGAGTTAATAGCTGTTGGTGTATATTGTAAACTGTTGCACCTGCGTGTGATGCTTAAATAACCCCCTTTTCCGTCTGTCCCTGTAGTGTTCATATCCATCACCCACGTCCATCGCACCAAGCCGTTGTGGAAGAAGAGCCCCCTCTCCAACCGGTGGTGGACGCTCACTGTGGCTGTTGTGTGAGTATCCACTGCTGAGTTGTTGAAGGGTCTCTGTTGTGAACTCAGAAGTGTTACCTCTGGGCCTGAACCCTGATGTACAGATCCTGGGGATCTTGTTAGCTCTGCTGAGATTTGCTGTGTCTGTTTATGATCTTAGATTGCTGGGACAAGTGGCACAGACTGCACTGGACCTGAAACTCTGGGAAAACCTCAATTCTTCATTGACCTTTAACCACATTTCCATCTCCCCAGTCTCATGGCTCCTGGGTTTTCTTTCCTTGGTCCTTGTGGTTATCATCAATGAGATTGTCAAGCTGCATGAAATCAGGTATGGGGTGTAGTAGGGAAGATAGGGAGAAAGGGCTGAGCCTCACTCCAGCCTGGCCTTGAGCTGCAGAAAAATGATGCACAGGGAACAGGGTGGGGAATAAAAAGGAAAAGATGATTGCATTGTGTAAATCACCTGGCTATTGTGTGCAAGCTCATGTTCCACCTCTCGGGGAGGAAGCGCAGGGGAGGAAAGAGGGTCAGGGAAGGGTAGTGGCAGTGATTGGGAGCAGGAAGGGAGACCAAAATTTTGTTATCTCAGACCAATGAGAGGGAAACAGCCAAGGTCTGTGAAATACCAGTATGGAATTGGAGAGGGCTGTTCTCTCCATCTCGTCCCATGAGGACAGAGAGGCATTGAATCACAGCAGAGGAAATACGTCTTCACACAGTGCCTGGACTGTGGGACTCATTTTCACGGGAAGTGGCTGAAGCCAAGAATTAGTAGCAGGCAAAGTGACTGGCTGTTCTTCTTAGCACAGGGAGCAGCCAGAGCTGGGAGTTAACGCTAATAAGCATTGATTCAGGAAAGGGGTTGGTAAGGAAAAGCACTGGGGATTACAGGGAACCCTTATGGGGACAGAGCCACTGTCTCTGTTCTTGGGAAGGGTTTCTGGACCTTTCTCTGCTGTGTGAGGCAACCTTGGAGATGGCGCTTGGCTGCATGGGGGAGGACTGAGACCATGGGTTGTTACCTGGATTTGATTCCCCTCCCAGGGTAACACAGGGCCCAGGCCAGGGGCTTTCCTGCTTTTTGGGGCTGTGCAGCTCAGGAATCGCAGTGGGGTAGCCTTGCTTGCCTTCTACCCCTCCACATGCTGACTCCCTTCCTGCTTCTGCCTTCTCCAGGGTCCGGGTCCGTTACCAAAAGAGGCAGAAGTTGCAGTTTGAAACAAAGCTGGGGATGAATTCGCCGTTTTAAACTCTCGAGTTCCCTGGAGCCAGGGCCACACAGCCGCATCCTGCGCTGGGAGAGTGGCTGCACCAAAGGCTCAGGGAGTTTTCCCTCACACATGGAACAGCCTCCTTGCAAAACTACATCAGCACCTTCCAGGGGGCCCCAGGCAGGGCACTGCTATCAGGATCCCCCCAGCAGGTATGCAGCCCCTCCCCAGCCTGCTAGGGTACTCTTAAGGGAGCCTGCAAGCTCTTGTGGCTTTTCAGGCTGCTCTTCCTTTATTTATTTATTACTAGAGGTTTTTGTTAGTATCATGGTGATGCTGAAATGAAGTGACTTCTTCCTTCTGTGTGAGCAGATGGGTTTCCCGGACCTGGCAGGAGAATTTGGGGCCAGCAGGGGAGACATAGGGCTGCTGAAGCAAGAGATCTCTCTTGAAACCCATTTTGTTTTTCCATCTGCGTGCTCTCCTGGATGATGTGTTGTGTGCATGCCTGCGCATGTCCTCACCCACCTCCCTGTCCCTGTGTCCTGGGGGGGGGAAGGAGCCATCTCTCCTGCAGCTCCAGGAGTGCTGGGGGGCCAGGTGAGGACTGGAGCTCCCATTCCCAAGGGGACACCGTGAAGGGTCTCTGGCAGGGTACTGGGAAAGCCCCTGCGAAGGCCAGGCTGTGCCAGGCCTGCCCTCTAGCGTTGTTGCTGTAGCCATATGCTAACTGTTGAGTGCTTCAGGAGAAGAGGGATGAGAGAGGGCTTTAAGAAAAGCTGTCTGCATTTGACCCTAGGGACCTGGTACAGAGGGAGTCGGGAGGGCAGCTCTGCCTGCCTGCAGGGAGTCAGCATGGCTCAGCTTCCTCCAGCCCTGTTGAACCAGCTCTTACTTGCTTTAACGCTCCCCCAGAGAGCTAGGTTTATAACTGTCCTCCTTTTTGTGATTCAAATTGCCATTCTGCTTCAGTAAAATGCCTGCTTGAGAGAGCCCTAGCTAGAGATAAAACCTGAGCGCTGCCTATCCTGCCGTGGAAGGAGGGGGAACGTCTTTCCAGGCAGGATATCTGCATCTTGCAGTTGTGCCTAACAGGGAGCTGGTGGACGGCTCCTTTCCCAGGCCTGGGACTGTGCTGCATCCGGTACGTGCTCTCCAAGGCACAGGGAAACTCCACTCATCGTGTCTTTCTGTGATAGGGCTTGGAAGTCTTTCCCTTCCATGCTGCTGCCCTCACAGCTGTTCCCTGTTTTTCTGGAGGTCTCTTCTTCATTTGACTGGAGGAAACCTTCCCCTGAGGGCTGCTGCAAACCATGATCTGCCCCAATGTGGCACACGTGCTCGTGAGCTCTGAACAGACCCCAGCTGTACTGGGAACACTGGTGCCCTTGTGGGCTGACAGTCAAGGGCCACACAGGAGCACACAGGCTTGGCTACCGGAATATTTGCAGCTCATGGACATGTTGACTCCCTTCCTAGTTCTAAAAACTGGCTACAGCAGGTAAATCCCAGCACTGTTTTTGCTCCCAATATTAACACTACAATACATGGTTACTTCCCCTTTGGTACCCAAGACTAACAAATGGCTGCTGGTCCTTCCCTGGCAGGCAGGCTCTGCTTTGCTGCTCCACCTTGTCTTCCTTACATTTCAGCATAACCAGAGAGCGTGCATGTCTCTAAGCAATACCCTTCTCCCTGCTGTGGGTCTGGTAGGAGAGCAAAGCCGGGGTACAGTCAGCCTCTGAGCTCTGGGGACAGATGGAAGATGCTGGAGGGGGGCAGCTGGGGGTGTTCAGAGGCCTGGACCCTGTTCCTACAGCTGGAGAGCAGATGTTTCGATTCCATGCTGCTGGCAGGGTTGCATGGGATAGGGAGCCAGCAGCTCACTGGGGAAAGGCAGGGCTCTCCTGCAATGCAGCAGTACCAGGCTACCCCTGCTTGCAGAGTGGGTCTGCTCACCTTTGCCAGCTAGGCTGAACTCTGCCTTCACTCCTCTCAGGCCTGCAGAGCTGCCTGACTCAGGGAGAACAAGCTCCATCTTTCTCAATCTCAGTTCACTAAATGCCAGCTCTAGATCTGTTACCTCTGGCACCTGAGAAATCAGCTTTTCTTTCTGATGCCAGAGTCAGCTAGCAGGTGGGATACGATCTCCTCTGTTGCCGAGCTGAGCTGGAGGCAGCACCAAGCTGCACACCGCTATTCCTGCAGAGCAACCTTCCCCTCGACATTAGCTCTTGCCCTGCGCCACTAACTGTTGTAGGCGATAAGAAACAGCAGATACCGGGGCTTCCTGCTGGCCACACCTTCTTCTAGAGGAGGCACCTCCAAGGTTTCCTTCTCTGGATGATCACAAATGTTTATTTTCTTGCACCCTCCTTCCCCTGCTAGTCTTGGAGGGAGCCGAGGCATATGAGTGGAGCCTTTTGGATGGTCTCGCCAGTGCCACCCTTCCCTCAGCCATTGAGGTACCAAGGGTCAGGGTGCACAGCTTCAGAAAGAAATTTCCTACATCAAGATGTTTTTAAATGGTGTATATTTTATATTAAATTTTTTGGGATGTATGTAAAAATACTTGATTTGTATGAAAACTTGTAAATTGTATTAAAAAAAAAAAAAAGAAACGCAGACCCACACGCATCCAGTGTACGAATGGCAATAAATGATTGTCTTGGATAACACACCCAGTGAGTGGGAGGGAATCTGCATTCAGCAAAGCCAGGAGGTAAAAATGTGCATGGCTGCTCATGTCATAGTGTCCGAGTTGCCTCGCTCACCTGTTGTGGGGACACAGCCCAAGAGCTTGATGCTCCTGGGACCTGGTCCCAGCACTTTTTCCCACTTTCTGCTCAGCTTTGGGCAAATCCGTCCAGCTCTGCATGCCTCTTCCTACAGAGTAACAGTCCGATTACCTCACGGGCTCCTGGATCCCAGGTACAGCACACGCGGTTGTTCCCAGGCACCGCTTCGGTCACGGCTGGTGGCACGGTTTGAAGCCCCTTGGGATGAAAGGTCGGGGGCGAGCTGGAACAGGCACTGCGAGCACTGGAGAAAAGCAGCATGGCGAGATGAGGAGACCTGGGCTTCTTGTTCCGAGCCAAGCAGGGCCTGGTGCGACTGTGGCTGTGCTCTGATCACCCAGGAGGACGGAGGAGTGCTTTGCCGGGCAGGCAGAGAGCCGAGGCTTCATCCAAAGCTGGGAATGGGGCATTGGAAGGTGGTGGTGGTCCCCAGCGCTCTCACCACATATTACTGCCATGGTGGTAAGACTCAAACTGAACATTAACCTCACTGGAGGCGAGAGCAGGACTCTTACCAGGGGAGAGTAGCTGAGGAAACCCAGATCTTAAGCGCTCAAAGGGCAGGATAAAGCTGATCCTCGATGAGCTTCAGAGTACGAGACAACCTTGTGCAATTTGACACGAAGGACACAACTAGGCAAAACTATCAAAAGGGTAAAATATGCCCCACTGTTTAATAGAATTTAGTCTTAATGGATGTTAGTGGAAAACAAAACACATGATTAACACAAACAGAGCAGATGGTTTAAAATCTGTTGTCAGTCTGGTGATTACATGGGCTATTTTTTCCCCTCACTGTGTTGCTGCACAGAGCAGGTGCAGCTGGGGTCAGTTAGTCCCAGTTGCAGTGTACATAACTTACACACCATACAGTAGCTTCAAAATAGAGATCTAGAGCTTAAAAAATAGGCATTCTTCTGCAAAATCAAATGTTTCATTCCCTTATTGACAATGAGAGCAGCGTGGTGCTGCCCTCAGGTGGCTCAGACAGCGACAGCTCCACCCCAGTGTCCTCTTATCCCTGACCCTAAAGTACAAGACTTGCGGTTCTGGTTAGTAAATACATATAATAAATCACATTTAAAATATATACATTGGCCTTTAAAATAAACCAAAACATTTACAGTTTATCAACATTGGAAAAAAATAACGGCTTGTCCCAGGTTGACTCGTGAGAGTAAAAAAATCAGTTTTAAAAGGTTTCTGCAAACCTTTTGATAAAGTGCCACTGGTTGTAGCTATTTAAAAACAAATCGGGTCCATGACGTAGCACTTGCCTGTCAGACACGGTCATTTAAACACACTCAATGTGATGTATAAATCAGAGCAACTGACTAGCCAGGAGAGAGGTGTTTTAACCGCCTCAAACTGACCTCAAGTCCCAGCCAACGATATGATTTTTTTTTTTTTCCCCAAGGCTTTTCTGTCTGCTTTTCAGCCTAGAAGCCAGGCTGGCACCTCCCGCCCGCCCGGCCCGTGGTGCAACTGCCGCTCGTGAGCGGAGACCCTGGGGAATGTCCAGGCAGGCTTTGCTCACAGAGGCTGCTCCCCTTTCCGTGCAAGGAGAGGGGCTGCTAACAGTCCAGTTGCAAACTCCCAGAAGGATTGGGAAGCAACTGCCTCTTCGGCCACCTTCTCCCTTTCCAGTTCGGTTTTGTGTTGGTGATTTTTTTTAAAAAGGAGGGATATGTGGAATTTTTTTTTTCCTTTTGTTTGGAATTTTTGTAGCAAATGGCACTTCAGTACAATCTTAGGTTCCCTTCTGGTGCTCTGATGCTTTCATTTGCTTGGCATGCTGAGCGCAAGCCAAGTTCGGGGCTCTTGGACATATTTAGACATGCACTACTAAACAGATCCTGCTAGAGAAATCTGTCTTCAAGCTATGCAGCCGTTCCTACTGCTTGGATGCAATGAGCTATCGCTGCCGTTTCCCCTGCTGCAGCCACGGGGCTGTGACCGCATCCAGCCTGCATGCACAGTAGCTGTTGCCGAGCTGAACTCGCCCAGTGCACGCGGGGTCACCTCTCCCGCTGGGTTTTAGTGCTGCAAGGAAGCATCTCGCAGAGTCCCAAACCCTGCTACGGTTTAACAACGCTCACAGCGGAGTTTGTGCCAGCAGCTCCTCGCAGGGAGGAGGGGTGGGAAAAGGGACCATTTTCTCCCCCCAAAAAGAGAGAGGGGAAGAAATGGAAAAAAAAAAAACCTAAAAAAGCACTAACCACACTGCTGCTTCACCCTGG